GTGGGAAGTTTACACCATCCAAGGACTGTAACAATAACAGAAACAATGTTGTGTAAAAATATTTTATTTTAGTATCAAAATACCGTTTTTCTTAAAGGGAAGATGTGATAAGAGTTTACTGCCTTTTTCACCTTCAAAATGAAGAGCATTGTTTCGGTAAGTATAACTTCTGGATTTATTTGTTTGAAATTTTGAGATCCTTTGGAAATTTTTCCTTCTGAAATTAAGAATACTGGACCCTATGGAATGCTAGAAAAATCCATGTTATAGTAATTGAAAAACAGACATAAAAAAAATTACCAATGAACCATGGAAATGAGGTCAAGGTCAGATGAAACCTGCCAGACTGACATGTACCCCTTACAATCATTCCATACAGCACACATAGTATAGTTGACCTACTGCTTATAGTGTTTGAGAAACAGACCTAATCATGTTACTTTAACCTTGATCACTAATCCTTGAAATGAGGTCTGACTGACATGTAGATGTTGAAAGGAACCCATATACCAAATAGAGTTATCCTATTACTAATAATAAGTGAGAAATTCAAAAGACAAAAAACTATAAAAAAATTTAAAGCAGTTGCTGAACCAAGAAAATGAGGTGAAGGACAATGGACATATGACAGAAGGAAACTTCGTAATATAAGGTATCTGCATACAAGGTATGAAGCATCCAAGTCTTCTACCTTCTGAAATATAAAGCTTTATACAAATAGTTTACGCTGCCACTGCCACCGGATAGTAATCCATATATTTCGCATACTGTGACTTATGTCACAGTCAAGACAAATATCTAAATACATAATTAGATTCAGCATATCAAAGAACCCCAATAATTCAATTTTTGATAAAATCAAACAAATTTTAATTTTGGACCCTTTGGACCTCAATGTGGACCATCTTAAAGATGGGGCCCCATATCAAAAATCTATATCCACAGTTAGATTCAGCATATTAAAGAACCCCAAAAATTCAAAACTATTAAACCCCATTGAAATTGGTAAAGAAATAAGCAATTTATACAAAGTATTAGAAAAGTATTGTTTTTGGCCTCTTTTACCTAAACGGTTAGGGCCATAATCCCCAAAATCAATCCCAACCTTCCTTTTTTGGTATGAAACCTTGTGGTACATTTTCATAGAGATCCATACAATTATACTCAAGTTATTGTCTGGAAACCAGAAAATCCTAGTTTTAAGGCCCCTAATTGTTAAACGGTTATGCCAATTACTCCAAAAATCAATCCCAAACTTCCTTTTTTGGTATGAAACCTTGTGGCATAATTTCATAAGGAAGCTATTAAACCAAGAGTTCCAAATAGTGAAGTTGCAGTCATCCCTTCGTAAATTTTACAGACGCCATCACGAGTTGGTTGACCGTTATGGAATAACCGTTTAACAGATGATATCGGATATGTTCCTTATGTCGTAACTATAATACCCTCCCTTTTCACGAATGTGACTTACCGAATTAGACTATTTACCAGATTTGTAATAACATAAGCAACATGATGGGTGCCACATGTGGGGCAAGATCTGCTTACCCTTCCGGAGCACCTGAGATCACCCCCAGTTTTTGGTTGGGTTCGTGTTGCTTAGTCTTTGGTTTTCTATGTTGTGTCATCTGTACTATTATTTGTCTGTTTGTCTTTTTATTTTTGGCCATGGCGTTGTCAGTTTGTTTTCCATCTGTGAGTTTGACTGTCCCTCTGGTATCTTTCGTCCCTCTTTCATAGAGATCCATACATATATACAAAAGTTATTGTCTGGAAACCAGAAAATCCTAAGTTTTTTGGCCCCTAATTCCTAACCGGTTTGGGCCAATTTACCCTCCAAAAGCAATCCCAACCTTCCTTATGAGGTATTGAACCTTGTGGTACAATTTCATGGAGATCCATACACTTTTACACAAGTTATTGTCCTGAAACAAGAAAAATCCTTGCTTTTGGCCCCTAATTCCTAAGCAGTTAGGACAATAACCTCCAAAATCAACACAGCACAAAACAAAATAACAACAAACTATAACAAGAGTGCATTCACTGAAATGTCTTGCCCACTTCATTATTGCTTATAGTATCCAAGAAACAGACTGAACCATGAAATATAAACATAGACCAATGAACCATGAAAATGAGGTCAAGGTCAGATGATAAATGCCAGACAGACATTTAGTTACACCTTACAATCATTTCATACACCACATATTGATCTACTGCTTAAAGTATCTGAGAAAGCAACCTAATCACATAACTTTATCCTTGATCTTTTAATATGTCTGTCAGACAGAGTTCACCTGACTACGACCTAATTTTATAGTAGTCCTTGCAAGGAACCCATATACCAAATATAGTTATTCTTCTACTCATAATAAGTGAGACATTCATATGACAACAAAACTATACATTTTTTCCCAAGAAGTCACTGAACCATGAAAATGAGGTTAAGGACAATGGACATATGACAGACAGAAATTTTGTAACACAAGGCATCTGTATGAAAGGTATGAAGCATCCAGGTTTTTTACCTCTGAAATATAAGCTTTACACACATAGTTTACGCAAGCGCGGGATTGTAATCTTTATGTCTTGCATACTGTGACAGTTCCAGGCAAGAGAAAAATCATTTCAAACGGGCTTGTCTCAATAGATCAATACAAAGCACAGTTACTGAAACAGAGCTAGTTAAATAAATATATTAGCAGATAGCAAAAGAAGTAGCCAGTTATTATTTAGGAGTGACACTCTTAAACAATAGCTCATGGCTACTTATATGTTATTGTGTCCTTAGTTAACTTTTTTGTACAATCATAAAATATCAGCACCTGCCTAAGGATGGATTGTTTAACATAAAACTAGATGAAATATGGGCATCATAAATCTATTACCATTGTTTAAACTTTTGCCTTTACCTTGGAAAATTGAACCCCCTTTCTTTAATAATTCTAGATACTAATTGGAACATGATATAATGTTAGTTGTTAAAATGCTATTATAAATTGAAATTCAAACATCTGATTATAAAGGGGTTCAATTTTCCATGGTAGGGGGTCAAAATAAAATGGCTAAGAAAAATGATAAGAAATCTGTTTAAACATTTCTTTTCTATTCATCGTATTTATTGCAGCTTTAAAACTAGTAGTGTAAATGCTAATATAAATTAAAATGTTGACCTAATAGGTTGGGTGGTTCAATTTTCCATGGTAGGGGGTTCAAATATAATGACAATTTTTCTAGGGTTGTTCATGTCATCAATTTAGAATATGTAAATCATCTAGCTGACATTATCAAAAAGTAAATCAAGTGTTTCTGTTGTTAAATTCCTCTTATACTTCTTGTGTTTTCTTCAGTTTTAGTGTGTTACCTGGATTTTTTTGCTAAATGGAATTATGACTATTGAACAGCGGTATACTACTGTTGCCTTTATTTAACTGTATTTGAATGATTTTTTGTGGGTAGAATCGGTTCTACCTAGTGGCTGCCTTGTTTAAAAAATACCTTTTAATGTTGACATTCTTTTCTTTTCAATAATTAAAAGTCATGTGTAACCCAATGATGGCAATCACAAGTAAGGGTCAAATTAAAGTTCATGTGAAGGATTCAAATGAGTCGAATTATTGACTTGCAAGCCAATAATAAAGCAGCGATGTTTTGGAGCTTATATTGACAAAGTTGAACCAAACTGACTGCTTATAGAGAAATATTATTTCACTATTCCGCTTTTACAAATGTTTGAAACAAAAAAAAATCATATATAATCTGCTAATGCCCTTTTAATCTGACCTTATCACTAATAAATGAAAACTACAAAAACTTTCAAAAGTCAACAGACAATGACTGAAGGGACAGAGCAAATCACCTTAACTGTAAACTTAATATGATTTACCTACCACTAGTACTAGTAGTTCCCCATAAACAGCCCTGATCACAAACTAATACATTGTTGAAGCTGCCGCTGCTGCCAGAAAGAGCAAGCATGCATTAATTTCTGAATTTACAGTAGGTAGATGTATTAGATGGGGATGGGGCTATATATATATATACAAGTCTAAATTGAAAACAACGTTCAAACCTATGATTGCGCTGGATAAAAACCGCAATTTTTATACGTGTGCATGCAAAACAAATTTCTTGGTAGAGGGGTCTAAATACAGCACAAACAACATTTTCCAAAAGACCAAATATATATACACAAGGAGATGACTGATTGATAGTTAATGTTTAATGCCAATTTCAGCACTCTTGGCTTAATCATGGTGGCCAATTTTTATTGGTGGAGAAAGCTGGAGTACCTGGAAAGAACCACAACCTTCAGCAGGAGAACAAGATGGGAAAGTAACCCAATGAAAATAAAATACTTCAATAGGTCAACAAATGGTCTCCAACACAAGTCAAGTGTCTATACAATATGTTCCAAACTGTCCTTAAAATTGAGAAAAAGACTGATAAATTTTTTTCTGGATTTAATATTCTTTTTAATCATTTAATGCTAGGCATGGTTATGTTTTTTCCCAGGCTTTGCCACATGAAAATAAACCATGTGAAAATTTATTTTCACTTTTATTCACAATTGATTCCTACATTTATTGTTGCAATTATTCATTTTCATCCTGTTTTGGGCAAAATCATTTATTTTAAATCCTCCTGGTCCCCCCACCCCCTTGAAAAATCAAATGGTTGTCTCTTAACTAACACATTAAAAATCTGGCTCAGCATGTTGGTAAAGTAAATAGCAGGGTTAATATTTATATCAAAATAACTTGTTTTAGTCAGTGATATGCATGTAATATTTGCCACTGGTTAAAAAACACAACTCATTATCAATGATGATCATCAGCATAATCAAAGAAAGTTTCATAAAGCAACATAAGGAACAGCAAGAATTAATCTAGAAACAAGAAAAATGTGTACAGAATTCAAATACAAAAATATTCAAACATTTTACCAGATGACAATTAATGTGTCCAAAAGTATCAATAAGTAGATTCGTATATAATTACCTGGTATCCTAGATATCTGTGAACATAGGTCAATACCAACTTGAGCTGCTCTTTGCAATAAATATCCCCAAGAACTTTTTTGTATTTCATAACCAACTAACAAGTCTGGATCCCATCTGTTAAAATAATTTTAATAATAAATAGGCACTTATATGTTATATAAGTAATGTTTATACATAGTTCGATTTTCATTACACTCAGTAGTCATTATTTTAGGATTTTCCCAGGATGTGTGTTTTCTTTACTATTGAGATGAAACAGATTTATTATCATATCTCAATTAGCTAGATGTGAAGTTTATCACATGTTCTTAGCAGGACAGCTCAGCAGGAGGTTTCATTACATCAGGTCCAATACACATGTCTTGTTAATTAGTGACCACTTGTGGCATTTAGCTTCCTTTGTCCTTTGTTTGTTTGTACATAAACCTGGATGCAGTTTAGCTCCTCCAATTTAAGAGTATCCCATTAAGAAGTTGTGTATCAAAAACCAAGACTACTTTTTGCTCAAATAGTGTATTAGCTAAAAACTTGAACTTCAGTGTTTGGATTACTTTTACTAAAGCAGTTACCCGTATACAGCTTTTGAACTATTAAATATAATTCCGACTAATTTAACTGGAGAAATAAACATTATTTTGGAATATCTGACAACAAAATGTCAGGCAGAGGAAAAAAATGGGTATGCAAAGGAAGACTACGAGTTCTCCTTCAATATGAGAGCCAATGGGATTCTAATAACCCATCTAACAGGACTTTAAACCAGCTGAAAGAAGAACTTAACAAAAAGGGTATTAGGACAACTACTGGAATGTCAAAACAAGTGTTAAAACAACTTTATATAGAGAATAGTAGTGAAGGAGTAACACCTAGAGAGACACAACAAACAGAGAACTCTGGTGCTAATGAGATTAACACAGATTCCTCGCCAAAGAGCTGTTCCGATTACCTTGGCAGAATCAGTGCATCAACACAGAAGCAGTGTATCAAATGGTGAAAATGAAAATGGTGGAACAGACAGGAACAAGACTGAATCACAAAACATAGCTCAGTGTTTTGCAGGACTTCAAGAGACTTTCAAAAAGTTGATTAACAGAGACAAGACTCAGGACATGAATAGAGAATTCAACAACAGCGGTTTAATAATACAGGGATTTGCAATAGGAGTGAAAGTTACACTTTTAACAGAGGAAATTACCAAGAACATTGTTTACAAAGAAATACAGAGAATGCATCTTTCGTGTCAGGAACACACATGGGAAATTTTTCATTTGGAGTGCATTTTGATGAATACTCTAATGTGGACATAATATCTCCATTTATTCAGAAGCAAATCATTGACAGTAAGGATGTAAATTTGGCATCTCTTCTTATCCCAAATTATGAAAGTCCCCATTAGTTCACTCTGTTACAGCTAATGGGTTAGAAATAAATATCTCAGGGAAGCCAGACCCCGTCTAAATAGGAAACTCACAATTCAAGAATTCATTAAGGCATTTGGCAAGTTTAAACGGGTTATGTCATCAGCTTATCCTGATCGTAGAGCAGAGCTGGATGCTTATGAAGATGAGATTATAGATATTAGTAATTTTTATGGTGATAGATTTTATGATTATCTCAAATTGTTTTCTGCAAAATCAGCAGCTCTTTTAAGGGAGAGAAGGATTAAGGTTGACTTGAGCAAAAGAGATAAGGATCTTCTTTCCTTAATAGTTGCTGGTGGGAATGTAAATGTTTGCAAAATTTGTAATTTGGTTGATCAAACTACAGCTTTTTGTCCTATGCAGACCTCCATGGCGCATCAAGATAACCCAGATAAATTATCAAGGCAGGTAGACAATACTGATAAGTTAAGTAGAAAGAAGGTTTATCATTCTGGGAGGGAGGTGTGCAATAATTTTAATACCAGTAGGGGTTGTACCAGGAGTTTTTGTCATTTTTCACACATCTGTAGTAAATGTAAAGTCGCTGGTCATACACTATTAGCTTGTCAAAAAGTTTTCCCCTCTCAAGGTAGGACAGAAGTACAAGCTAAGCCACATACAGTTAACCCTTCACAAAAGTTTGAGAAAGAAATACTGCAACAAATACTTAGCAAGGTCAATGACTACATGATTTTCCGTATCAGGCAACTACTCCAATTAATGTAATTAAACTTGCAGAAGAATTATTATCTCATCCTGACAAAAAATTAGTAAATTATTTATGCAATGGCTTAGAGAAAGGCTTTGATACTTTGGTAGCAACAACAGATTTACCTACAAAAGAATGTAGGAATAGTTTATCTGCTAGAACACAACCAGAAGTGGTTTCTTAGTTGATAGATAAAGAAGTTTATAAAGGTTTCTTGTATGGGCCTTTTAAGGACCCACCTTTTGAAAAATATAGGTTAAGTCCCACTGGTATTGCAGAAGGGAAATATTCTGATAAAAAGGGCTTAATATTGGACTTATCTACACCACATGATGATGACAACCATCTAAGCATTAATGGTCTAATTGACAAACAGGATTACTCAATGTCTTATGTAAGAATAGGTGACGCCATTGATGTCATTTTGAAATTTCAAAGAAATTCCTGGCTTTGCAGGTTCGACATATCCGATGCATTCAAAAATTGTCCTAAGTCAGTGGCCTCTTTTTTGCATAAAATGGGAAAAAATGTATTATTTTTATGTCCGTTTGACTTTTGGATGTCATTCAAGCCCCAAAATTTTTGACCATTTATCCCAAGCTTTGTGTCATAATGCAGAAAACAATTACAAAGTTAATAGCATTTTGCATTTATTGGATGATTTCCTAACCATAGATCCACCAGATGCTAAAAGTGAGAGGACTTTGACTATAATGATGATGATTTTCAAACAAGAGTCTCTCAAGAGCCTGAATCGCTCACCTGTATTTCAGAGGAGAAGATTTTTAAATGTTAGCAAACTTTATGAACAAATTGTGTAAAATTGTTTTTAAAGGGCAATAACTCCTTAAGGGGTCAATTGACAATTTTGGTCATATTAACTTTTTTGTAGATCTTACTTTGCTGAACATTATTGCTGCTTACAGTTTATTAAAACTACCAATTCGGTGGCAGCAACCCAACAATGGGTTGTTCGATTCGTCTGAAAATTTCAGAGCTGATAGATCTTGACCAATTGAACAATTTTGCCCCATGTCAGATTTGCTCTAAAAGCTTTAGTTTTTGAGATATAAGCCAAAAACTGCATTTGACCCCTATGTTCTATTTTTAGCCATGGCGGTCATGTTTGTCGATGGATCAAAACTTTTGATACAATTTATAAACGAGATACCCTAAGGAACATTTAGATAAAGTTTGAAGGTATTTGGCCCAGTAGTTTCAGAGGAGAAGATTTTTTAAATAGTTTACGACGACGACAGAGGACAACAGACGATGACGACAGACGACGACGACGGCGACAGATGACGGACGACGACGGACGCCAAGTGATGGCATAAGCTCATAAACTGAGCATTCCTATAGCTAAATATAGGACAATAGGTCCTGTAAAAAGGTTTAGAATATTTGGGTATAATTCTAGATTCTGAAAAAATGGAAGCTCAACTGCCCCTTAATAAAGTCAATTGCATTTGTGAATTCATCAAAAAATTATACAGGAGAAATTCATGTACAAAAAGGGAATTGTTGCAGCTTTTGGGCCACTTAAACTTTGCTTCATGTGTCATTTTATTTGTAGATCATTTGTTTCATACCTCATAGGGCTGTCCACTGCTGTCAATGATTTGCATCACTACATTTAATTAGATAAGGAAGACCATGTTGACCTAGAATTTGGTTCCTTTTTCTGAGCAGCTGGAATGGTGTGAACATGTCTTACAGTAGACTATTTAATTCAAGTTATGGTATGGAACTTTTCACAGATGCCTCAACAACAAAAGGATTTGATGGATATTTCAAAAGAGAATGGTTTTATTCATCATGGCCATCAAACATTGCTTATCCTGACAAAAAATTTTCAATGGCTTTTCTCGAATTATACCCTTTTGTAGTATCTGCAATACTGTGGCGCTCACAGTGGACAACAAAACGCATTCTTTTCTGGTGTGACAATGAAGCTACAGTTGCGATAGTCAAAAAAGGCTGTTCAAAATGTTTACAAATAATGAAATTAATGAGGAAACTTACATGGTGTGCTTGTAAATATAACTTTCTTTTTAGTGCGAAACATGTTCCAGGATATCAGAATAACATAAGTGATGTTCTATCTTGTTTTCAGATAGACAGATTCTGCAAACTAGCTCCCAGTGCAGCACAACATCCAATGAAGTGCCCAAGCAGCTCAGATGTAATGTGGTCCTAAATCAAGCAGTGAATGAATTTTGGAACAGTGCTATTGCTAATACTACAAGAACTGTTTATGAAACTGGGTTCAGAAAGTTTGAGACTTTTATGTTATTAAGAACTGAAAAATTTGAAATTGGACTTTTACTTATATGGTCCAATATCCGAAATCTAAATACACAGTTAAGATTCAGCATATCATAGAACCCCAAGAATTTAATTTTTGATGAAATCAAACAAAGTTTAATTTTGAACCCTTTATACCTCAATGTGAACCAATTCGATAACAGGGCCATAAATCCAAAATCTAAATACAAGCTTAGATTCAGCATATCCAAAAACCCCCAAGTATTCAATTTTGTACCCCAATTTGGACAGATTAAGCATATCCAAGTACACCAAGAATTTAATTAATTTATTTATTAATGGACAATATGAGCTAAGTTTTTTAAGGGGTTTGCTTCATCAAAAACAAAAAAATATATATAATAAGCATTCTCAAAATTAATGTATACAAAATAACAAACAAACCTACCACAAAGTTCTTCAAAAAATTTACAATAAAAATGAAAATAGATGGGGAATGTGTCCATTGGACACAGATGATGCCCCCGCTTGCATATAATGTTAAAAAGGGACATAACTCAAGAACTGTAAAAGTGACGCTACCCAAATTTGTACTTGATCTGAGTTTTGTGGTAATAATCATTGTGTATAAGTTTCATAACATTTAGTTGAGGCAAACTTAAGTTAGAGAACGAAAACGAAAAATACAGCAATTTTTCCATTTGTAAACGGGCATA